TTTTTGTTTTTTTTTTTTTGCAATAAGCTAACCCGGACTGGAACGCACCAGGCTTACCGGTACGATCATGCTTTTTTGCACTAAATTCGCAGATCGCTAATAGCAGGAGTGATTCCCGCACAGTGGCCTAACACTTGGACTCATATTGGCAGCGCTCTAGCCTATTCCGGCATGCAGGAGAGCCGCACGGATCTCCAGGTATATGATTACCAGTTTTTTGCATGAAGCCCGGTTGTTTTTTTTCGGTAAATGCTCGCTTTTAGGCTGGAACGCACGAGGTTCCCCAGTGCGATCACGCGTTTGTGCAGTAAACTCGCAGATCGCTATTAGCAGGAATAATTCCTACGCTGTAGCCTAACATTTGGGCTAATTTTGGCCGTGCTAATCCTTTCCGGGATGCAGGAGGAAGGGCATCAGTTGGGATGAAGGTGGTGCATTGTAGAGCCACGCGGACATCCAGATGCATGATTGCCGGTTTTTTGCATGAAGTCCGGTCGTTTTTTCGGCAAATGCTCGTTTTGTGAAAAAATGACAAATGTAAATTTTTTGAAAAAATACGAATTTCCAGTTCACTAAAAAATGGAAGTATTGCTCGAGCAGTCGCTTGTCAAAAAATGCACAGTCATTTACATATACGATTGCGGTTAAGGTCCGAGCTGCGAACGAATTTTTTGAAATATGCAAATTTTCAGTTCATTGAAAAATTGAAAGTATTGCTCGACGGTCGTTTTTCAAAGAATCCATGTTCATTTGCATATACAATTGCGGTTCAGGTCCGAGTTGTTAACGATTTTTGGGTTGAGGAGCTGCTTGAGGCTATGGTTGGGGAGCTAGAGAGCTAAGTTTAGAACTTTTATCTTGTACGTGCATAAAGAATATCCCTGCAAAGTTTCAGCTTTCTCCGTTGCCTGGTTCGCGAAATCGTTCCCCACCAACAAATTTCTTTGGGGGTCCCGTACGCTGGATTTAGGCGCGTATGGAGAAAGATCTTAAAACGGGAGGATGACACACGGGGTAGGAACATATGTCCGAAGTTTCAGCCGCTTAGCTTTCCTGGTTGCTGAGATGAAAATGGGTGACAAAATGCACTCGGTTCCCGCACCCACACACACACACATACACACACACTCACATACACACACACACACACACAGAAAGCCTCTCGATAGTATGCGTTTTTGCTGTCTGTAGCAGCGCTATAGCGTTGCTACAGCGCTGCACAGCGAAAACTCATAAAAATGCAAATTTCCAATTTACTGAGAAGTGGAAATGTTGCTAGAGTAGTCATTCGTCAACCTAGGCTGGAACGCACCAGGCGATCCGGAGCGATCATGCGTTTTTGCACAAAACTTGAATTGGGTTAACTGCATGAACGGTTGTTTCTCCACACCTTCCCTGTGTGCTTAATGCCGAAAATCATCGTAAATTTTGCATAAAAAGAAATAAACTATTTCCGTGTAGCGGTGTTTTTTGAAAGTAGGTAAATTTTGCATAAAAATAAATAAAGTATTTCCGTTTAGCGGTGTTTTTTGAAAATAACCCGACTATTCAATGAGTAATTTTCCTGCCAGAAATTTAATTGCTTGTACACGAGAATCACGCGTAAATGAAGACTGAATTTGAAGATTTATGGACGGGAAATATTCTCCAAAAATCTGAGCCTCCCAACTTTTCTGGTTCTCGAGTTAGCAATTTTCTCGCCACAACTTCCACGGGACCGCACGTGACT